AGCATTGGAGAGCGCGTACACTCCCTTTAAACTACATTTGGACTACTGGAGCAGTGGAGGCGCGCGTAAACTCCCTTTAAACTACATTTGCACTACAGGAGCAATGGAGGTGCGCGTACACTCCCTTTAAACTACATTTGCACTAGTGGTGTAGTGGAGGTGCGCGTACATTCCCTTTAAACTACATTTGCACTACTGGTACAAGAAAATTGCAGTATACAAAAAGAGTAAACTTGTCCGTCTTCACTGGTCATCTTGCGGATACATTACAGACACATCTTTACAGTCTTTTATCTTTTTCATAAAATAAACTCTAGCAGACATTTGGCTTTTGAAATTAGGTATTACAATGCTAATTCATAACAAAGACGATATCGAATTCGTCACTGAATTCCCATGTTTTTTGGGACACCCTGTATAACATACGTTTTTCACCAGTTGCTCTATTAGCCCATATATCGGTCTGGTACTTCAAATGAACAGGAATTTCTAGAAGACAGTGCATACTCCTGAAAATAATCAACAACTGAAAAAGGACTGCCTTCAAGTGTCGACATTCACCAACCCACTTACACTTTTGAAGCAATGAATTATGAAGATTTCAAAACTGCAAAATGTTTGTTTTTTTAATAAAGTAGTTTGCTAGATCCTCTTATTTTGATTACATTTGGATTAACTTTATTTTGTTGAAATGACGCAGATTAAAGTTGATTAAGCTTCTGATATCGAAACTTTTATTTAATATCAAATAAGTTTCTGTAATATTTAGCAAAAAAGTTAAGAAATCATTAAAAAGTGCACAAAATTCAAAGAAAACTTTTCGGTGATGGCAATTTTTTTTTTCGACTGACAAAATTCATACCGAGGGATTGTCTAAATTCCACTCTAATATATATTCTATTCTCTTTGGATTTTAACCTGCATTTTTGAAATATGATTATCTGAAGATTGAGCTTGACTTTTAACCTTCACAACGGAATAAAATGATATATTACACGAGTTGGCTAAAAATCAATAATATTTCAGTTGGATTAAAATATATAAATGAAAGAATAATTTCTGTACAATAGTATCTGAACTCTCATGACCCATTTAGAATTTTTGCATACAAGTTACGAAACAATATGTTACATATGAAATTTTAGAAATCTGATCTGTTTTTAAATCTACATATTGTTATGCTCTACTAGGTACGAAGGAGTGCGTAGATTAAATTAAATAACGTGTTTTTCTGCACTGCGCAAAAATATTTGAATTCAGATTTATTATCACAGATTCTACATGAAGACATGAGATACAGGGTGTCCCAATAAACACGGGAATCAAGTGATAATGTCTTCTGAATTGACAATTGTTTTTAGAGTTCATTACTTGAAAAAAATCTAAATCCTTCCAGAATAATAGATCTTTTAACCCTTGGATGTCTGAAGCACTTATAGTATCGGGAAACGTGATGCCAAATTGTTTAATAAAAAGTCAGGAAAATAAATCTAGACTTAAAGAATAAAATGCAGTGTATAATCTCAACAAAGGAATTGAGTCTTCGTCATAAACTCTGATTTTCTAATCCCTATATCTTTGGAGTCCATTTCAAACTATGACTTTTGTTATATCAAATGATATAAGTTTGAAATATCAAAGGTAAACCTTGTGACTTCAAAATTATGGTTCAAAAATTATTTAAATGGAAGAAAACAATTTACTTCAATCAGGGATGTTGACTCTTCACTTAAAGAAATCTCTTGTGGTGTACCACAAGGGTCGATACTAGGACCAATCTTATTTCTGATTCTTATCAATGACCTTCCTAAAGCATCGAAATTTTCTACAATTCTTTTCGCTGATTATATAACACTGCAACTTTCTTTAAAAAGCTTACACGACTTATATGATTTGGCAAATTTTGAGCTCTCTAAAAATTTAAAGATTGGTTTAAAGCAAGCCAACTAACGTTGAATGCACCTAAAACCAGAAAAGTAAAAGAAAATGTAAATAGCCCCTCTCCTAAACTTTTCATAGATGATAAAGATATAGATAGAGAAGTAACTGGATGTAAAAATGAATCTTTTAAGTTTGTAGGTGTTCACTGTTCATTTAAACGAAAATCTTAACTGGAACCATCATCTTAAGTCAGTTAATGCAATCCAATCCAATGCAGCTTTTGCATTGTCAAGTGTAAAAAATATTCTTCCTAGTAATATTACACTAACCATTTACAATTCTTTATTCGATCATTCATATATAGATTATGGAATTTCGGCCTGGAGAAGAAACTAATTAAATATGTTTTAAACTGCTCTAATATTTGTGTTGTATACATGTAAGAATTATTTTAAAATCTAGTTACTCTAACAAATGTATAAACTATTCACATAGGATAAAATCGCACCCTGATCTTTTATAGGTCTCCTCTTTAATCTATTTAATTGAAATGTTTTTGAAGTTAGGGGGGGAAAAATAATCAAAACAGCCAAGAGCTATTTTCCACCTAATTGCTTTATTCTTGTACTGTTAAAATGATTATTAATTTGTAATTGTAAAATCGTTGTGTATAAACAGATACAAAGTTTATAATCCATTGTGATCTAATTTCTAGCCCTTACTTACTAACTGTTTAGAATACAGTGGGCAGCTGGGGGGAAATGCCCCCCTTTTATTTTATTTTTTCCTTATCAATGCTTAAAAACCAAATGTATTCACAATCTTTTTAGAAATTCCAAATAAAGCTAGCCTAGATTAATTGGCCTTTGAAAATTTATTCTTTTGAAGGAAGGTGGGGGGGGGGGCTGCACTCTGCTTTATCTTCTGCTACACTAATATCTTCACACAAAGAAGTCTTGATAATTATAATTAAAGTTTATGATGTATGTTCAGACTAGATGATGCGACTGAGAAAGGTGTGAAGTATCAGAAACGGTATTATGGTATTATCAATCAAATGAAAGATGTAAAACCCTGAGCCCGAAACTTAAAAGAGTATCTGTGGACAAAACTCCCGAGTTTCCTTTTGGGGTTTTAACATTGCATGTATAGATTTTGATTTGAGAGATTCGAAAAAAATTGAGAATATAAACAAACTGAATAAAATGATATTTCATAGCAAAAATAGTGATATTCACAAAACTGCCTAACCCCATTCGTGAAACCCGGGTTTTAAAACTGGTTTTCAGAACGATACCCTGTCTCAAGTTTTGGGCTCTGGGGGTCAGGGTTTCTGAGTTAGAGAGTATAATTGCAGAGATTAAAGAAAAGTTCCAGTTATCTACGGAACAAATATCTTGTCTGCAAAATCTGACTTGGATATACCATCCTGCTCCCATTAACGAACTTCTGAGTTTCCTAAATACAATCTCATAAAGAAGATTTCACTGGTTTATATTGTCCTGAGACTGAAGAAAAAACGCCCAGAAAGCAAATCCAAAATCCGCAAAAAGCTTAGTAAACTAATATTGAACTCACTTTAAAACCATTCTAGGATTATTAATAAATTTTTGATTCAAGTGTTTGGTTTAAAGAAGGAGTTTTTGGAAGCTTGGTTTACCACATAAGAAACTAATCAGTTTTCTAAAAAGAAAAACATGAATATGTAATTGATATTTGATATTTGATCAGACACAGGGTTCAATCGGACTTGCAAATAGAGATCACTTGCAGAGTTATGTTTACAGTATTGTAATGTGTTCTGAGTTTACAGGGTTACCCACAAAAGATGAAACTCTTAAATTATGATGATATCAAGGTTAAATTAACTCTTTTAGCTTAAATTATAGTCCTTTATTGGCTTATTTAATGATGTGTCCAAGAAGGAAACACAATTATATAGGTAGGGAATCAGGGAAAAAATGATTTAAATTCGTACAGTCGTCTCTGAATTATCAGCATTTGTGGGTACTCTTTGCTTGGTTGCATGCATTTTTCTTTTCTTCAAGGTTCTGAAAGTAGGGGGCGGGGTATGAATAATTAAAGAAATAAAGGGGCGGGGTATGAATAATTAAAGAAATATGGAGGTTAAAAACGACTTGAACCGAAGAACGTGGCGTCCATACAAATTCAGAAAAATGCAACATTCGACTAGGATCGTAAAAAATCCATTTGATTCAAAAAAAAAATCATTCCTGACCTTAACCTTTCTCATATTCCTAACCTTAACCCTACTAATTCTTAAAAGCTGGACCCTTCTCATCTCTACCCTGAACCCTCCTACCCATCCTGAACCTGAACCCTCCTCATCTCTAACCTGAACCCTACCCATCCTGAACCTGAACCCTTCTCATCTCTAGCGTGAACCCTACCCATCCTGAACCTGAACCCTTCTCATCTCTAACCGAACCCTACACATCCTGAACCTGAACCCTCCTTATCTCTAACCTGAACCTTACTCATCTGAATTAACCTTACTCAAATACTCAAATTATAATATTTTAGTCTACACTGTTCAGATCTTTCGTATTTTGAGAAAAAAAGGTCAGAATTTTTTGAGATTTTGATGCAAAAATGTCATCTGAAAAATTTAATTTTTGAGAAAAAATATTTTAGATCAGATTCTTTATATTTTAGATCCATGATTCCCAAAATTAGGAAAAACGTCGGATGAAATTCTTTACTTAAAATATTAAAAAGTACATGAAAAATAAAATTGAAAAAAAAATATTTTAAATCAAATTCCACATTTTTTAGAACAGATTCCAAAATATTTCAGAAAGGCGCGGACTTAGATCTAAAAAAATATTTTAGACTAATTTCCACGTTTTTTAGATTAAATTCTCTTTAGATTAAAAGTTTTATAGATCAGATTTCTGAACAGGCATATTTGTTGCACACATTCATATTTCATAGATATGACATTAAAATATCTTATTCAACGTTTTTTAGTATTAGACATTAGTATGTGTATGCTAAATTTACTGTTCCCTGTCTCTCACAATATTAAAAAGAAAACAATCAACAAAAAACTTTAATAGTTTAAACGCTTCTCTCTGTTTTCTAAAAATACAACGTTATTATAACAGTCCGTCAGTGTTTTATTATATAAATCTAAGAATTGCTTGCACACATTGTACATTTGTACATGATGGTACATCCGTACGTGCTGACTATATGTACAAGCTTAATAACAACTAATATCATGACCACGAAACATTTGTTTACATATTTGTTTACATATTTGTTTACTTAACAAGGAGATGAATGCTGATAGGTAGATAAGGGAGGTTCTTACATAGTAGATACATAGGGCCCCGGCTCTGTACTGTACAGTACAGTTCATACCACTTTACCGTACATACAGTCGTGTACGATACGGTACAGGTACTTTTTACTGTAAGCGCCTTGCCGGGAGGATGGTTTTCTGGCTCACAGCTGATTTTGTTTCATCCGCAATTTTGAATCCGCCATATTGGATGAGTCTCATTTAAAGATGGTATAACTCAGAGTTCGTAGATTTCTAACTGGTTTTTGTTTTGATTTTAGTTCAGTTTGTTTGTTTACCATTCGTAAACAGAGCAATCGGAACCGGTTTTACCAAAGTCAGATGCTTCCTGGACAGCGAACATGATGGTCTGGTACTTCTCGTGGAAGGGGACGACGCTGAAAACAAATTTAAAATTAATAATCCAACAGAAATGTTTTTATTTAAAACTTAAAATATTTAAAACTGGAAAAAAAACGCTTTAGACAATTTAAAAGTTATCGCTTTGAAAAGGAATTGAAAAATGAAACATGTTTTTACAATTGGTCCCCCCCCCCCATCTCCCACCTCCCTATTTTATGCTTTTGGTCAAGCCATAAAGCGGGCCAAGGACTGGTCACTGGCTTGAAGGCAAATGCTTGGTCGTCGGTATTTCAACTTAGTTGCATTACAAACATTGTTAGACAGAACTTACAAACTTAAAATCTGCCAGAGAATGAATACTTTTCATTTAATTATTTCATATAATTCACTTAGTTATTTAATTTGAATGTTCGTTTGAAGTTTGTTCAGAACATTTATCTTCCGTACAAACTTCTTCAAAAGTTTTCAGTTCAAACTTTTTATTTGAGGTTCTCCTAGCATTACAAATTACAATCCATCAAGGAAGTTTTTTTTCATAAAACAGAGATGTCACAGATAAAACATTGCAGGCTACAGTGATTCCAACCTTGAATACTATAGATACATAGGTAGATATAAACAGGTAGGTAGTTAAACTATTAGATAGATAGAATAATAGAAATAGAGATAGATAGATAGATAGATAGATTAGATAAATAGAAGGATATATAGATAAATAGATAGATAGATAGATAGATAGATAGATAGATAGATAGATAGATAGATAGATAGATAGATAGATAGATAGATAGATAGATAAACCTTTTCCTTTCCTTGGTTCCACCTTTCCTGTTCATTCTCAACCTTTTAACCTTGAGGTTTCATTGATCCGTATAATACATTAGCATACTAATCAATTAATCAATTAATCAATCAATCAATTAATTAATTAATCAATAATTTACTTATTCAACTATTCAACTATCCAAATGTTCATATATTTAACTATTCAACTATCCAAATGTTCATATATTTAACTATTCAACTATCCAAATGTTCATATATTTAATTATTCAACTATCCAAATGTTCACATATTCCACTATTCAACTAACCAACAAATCAACTAATCAATTAATCAATAAATCAAATTTACAAAGTTGCAACAAGTCAATTAATAAATTAACTAATCAATTAATCATCCATTCATGTATTGCTTTATGATCGTGTATTTTAACACCCCAATACACAAACCGAAGAAAAAATATGTGAACACTTTCACCTCTGCAAGTTTGAAAAAGTCTAACTGATCCAACCCCACTCTTTCAATTAAACCCCCCACCCCCTGCTACTTTTCTTGCTAAAAGTTTCTAAAGATGTAAATAGCAACAAGTAAGATTCAGTCTTTCTCTTCAATTTTCGTGCCAGATGGTCGCGAGTAAAGATTAAAGACAGAAGGAGAAAAAACGACAGATTGGACACGAACATTTGATATTTCAAGAAGAAAACTTACGATTTCATGAGCTTGTGCATGTTGTACCACATCTTGGAGGCGGTGTAGTAGTCGGCGGCTAGGTAGGGATCTTCGCAGGCAGCCCTCTTTACACAATCAAGCTTATCTTCAGCTCCGCTGGTGTACATCAGGAAGCACATTCCACCGGAGATATCAGTTTCAGTTATGGCTCTAGATGTAGAATCGACTGATCTTCCAGCTCCACCGACGGTGAAAAGACCGAATCCGAAGATGATGGCCTTGAGGACGAGAAGGATTAGGAGGTTGGTGAGGTTAAGGGTAAGAACCTCGGAGGTTGATGACGCCCTGGCAACAAATTCAAGTGTCTGTTCTAAAGCAGGATTCATGCCCTCTGAAGCTGCGGCGGCGGAGCCGGCTAGGGCGGAGAGTACTGCGGCGGAGATAAACCTCTTCATGTTTAGATGTCTAGAGGGTTGAGGTTGTATCACGGAACTGAGTATTCTGATCTAACTGTGTGCACGCTCTCGGTTCCTCGACCCACTCTACGCACAGGAAAAGCCAGGGGTAAACACGCGCGCGCAAAAAAATCCGCCATTACACAAAAATTAAATCATAAAATTCTGTTTTAAACAAAATAATATGGTCTTTAAAAATAATCCCTTCCCCCCCCCCTCACTGCAATCCTGCACCTAGAGGAAGAAATCCTCGAGCTGTGCGCGCCGGTTTAAATGACCTAGATTCATGGCTCTGTGAAAGTGTGCGTGTGTGTCTGTCTGAATGTATGTGTGAGTGTGTGTCACTGCATGCCAAGGAGTGTGGGGGGGGGGTCACAATACGTGGCCCAAGAATTGGTGAAAAATAAGATCCCAATGATAAATGAACATTATACCAGAAAGACAAAACTAAAAATAGTTGAAAACATCGAATACTGTATCCTCTAACTCACGTCCCAGGTTGCAAATTTATAGAAAGAAGACCAAATTTGTTCATTAGAAGAAATTTGTTAAAGTCAAGTGATCCTATATGCAAAAATTTACAACGTTACCCTGAGAACTTTATTTGAACCTTGTACAGTGTTTAATTTCTATACGATTTCTTGTAGTATGTTTTCTACTGCAGTAGAGAAACCACAATTTAAAATAATCAGTTTTAAAGATTATAAACTGTATACAATATCTATATATTTCATACTTGATCAGACAAAGCTTATAAGGGTACCACGGTGAATCGGACAATTCATCTTTATATTGAATGCCAATTAAAATTACGCGGACAGTCTCTTAAAATTGACACTTTTACAATTTTTGTATTTTAAAGCCGGCTTTTTTGTATTTTTATAGCCGGCTTTTATTAAAGAGAATTCAGCAAAGATTTTCCTAACTCACTGTTGCAGTATAATCCAGAGGAGAGTTTCACACAATTAGGAAATAAGCTTCAGAAACGACCATAGATAAAGCTAGATTGCGCATAAGAAGTGTGACTTCACGAAATATACAATTCTGGGTAATATTGCGTATGCATAATGCATTTGCTATCTATCTCAATTCCTTATAAAGTCTAAATTTGAACTATTCAGCTTGCTCTGGCTGATTAACAGTCGGCCTGGTACTTAAAATAAACCGGATTTCACAGTTATCCTTGGCTCTATATATCTTGTGTGAACCCAAACAAATTCATTATTAATAATAAAAATAAAAATAGGAAGCTCAGAAGGAAAAGTGAATCTAGCTTATCAAATTGTAAAAATACCGATGTGGAATTAATAATATTGTTACATCACCCCATTCAAGTGTAATTAAATAAGTGTCCTATATATAACAAATGTTATTTTCTTTTTACAATATTTGTATTTCATGGAAGACGGATGAATTGGCCATTTTTAAGGAGTACAAAAAACCTAAAATTACACACACCTAAATTTTATTTAAGGGTAAGACACCTAATTTTCATTTTCAAAGACAAACATAAAAATTTTCTAATGAACTTTTTTGAGTGTACAGATATCTTGATTCATGTAAAGGTAAAATAAAAAAAAATCATTTTAGAAAAGAAACCATGCAAGTTACCATGATACTATGGGACACCAGGCAGGTTACCATGATACTATGGGAAACCAGGCAGGTTACTATGATACTATGGGACACCAGGCAGGTAATAGATTGTCCTAATTTGAACAAGGATGATCAAGTGAAAGTCTCTTTGAAAAAAAATTGAATGTTTGCACCCACACAATCCAAAATCCTGTTTTCAATCATACATGGTGCAAAATTCAAATATTTTATTGCACTGAAGTTTGCAAATATTTCAGCAAACTTTTTACAAATAAATATACCCGGCTCTAATATGCACTAACGCAATATGCTTGGCAAAAATTGGAAATTTGTCGAATATAAAGCCTCATTAAAAAGTTGCAAACTTCATAGAAATGTTTACGTCATGTTTTGTAAACTTGTACACTGTGTGACTGTATAGTGTGTCCCTCAAAACGTTAATGACGCCAGTTGTCTTTGTAGGACCAAAGCTTGAACATTTGTGTTTGATACTCATAATCCATTAATCATAATGTTGTACAGCTAAAGGCCTTTATGAAAGATCAAATGGGTGATTTCCCGAGGGGTAAATCGCAGGGCGTCTAAGAATATCAAGAGGACAATAATCCAATATTGATATATTTCCAACCTAAAAATAATTAAATTTAAATAATGAAATATTTTTATAAATCTTTGACATATATGGTTATGAATAATAATGGGTTTTAAAATATCTTACTATTGAGCGCAAGTAGATTAAATTGGGGGATCAGGAATAAAACATTTATTCTGAACATAAAATGACAGTTTGGTTAGAAAGATTTGCTGTTCACTGCAGATCACGAATTTTTAGACTTTTACTATTTTTGAAACATGATCACTACACGAGGAGGTTGTTTATAAATTCTGCCGGAGCTAGGAAATGTTGGGTTTGGCCACCGGAGAAAATCTTGGTCAAAGACGACCTTACATCGGATTAAGATATAGAGGTTAATGGTTTACAGATGTGGTTCTTTTAATTGGAGGATCAATGTTTGATATCTTTATTTCAGTTATTCCTTCACTCCTCCATCAAAGCTTTTATAAACCCCTGACTTGGTAGGATTACCTTCCAGGATAAAGAAGATTAACAAAATATGTTGATTATTAAAAGAAGTATCTGTAAAGGGGCTGTACGCGGAATTTCAAGTGAAGCTCCATGCGGAGATGGCAATGTTGGACACCAGAGATAAAAGTATCAAAGACTGTTACATAAGAAATGAAGCAGAGGAGTTTATTTTTCAGAATCTCAAACTCAATTTTTGATGATTTCGTCAAGGAAAATTGAAAATTGGACATCAAATAGCAAGTTTTATCATTCTTTATGATCCTTTTTTTCGAAAATTATTTTTTTCCCCTAACATTCATTTGTTTTCATACATAACATGCATAAATGTTCGAAATGCCGAACAAAATGATCATAATTCCGAACAAAATGATCATAATTCCGAACAAAACGATCATAATTCCGAACAAAACGATCATAATTCAGACCTAAATATTCCGTACAAAATGTTCATAATTCGGAACAAAATAATCATAATAAATCATGATTTGTGGATAACCCTGTTTGAACTTTATGTGAATATTCTGAATTACAATTTGTTTAAATTTATTGTTTGAAAACTTTAATATTTGAACAAAAACAAAAATTATTTTAATTGTTTTCTTTCGGTCTTAGAATTGTAAATTCCTAAAATCGTGCTCGACAAATCTCATTAAGAAACCAAAATACGCAAATCCGGTAAACTTCAATATACCCCCAGCATGACGCGTGTTTGACGCAATCATGATAGGCCGGAAGTTACGCAAAATGCGTAAACATTTGAATTCTGTTACGCGGAAATATGAAACGCTTGAACAATGCTGGACATTATTGTTCGCGCCTGCCTTTCGAACATCATGAAACATAGAATTAGTTTAAACATTCTTCTTCTTCTTCTTCTTCTTCTTCTTCTTCTTCTTCTTCTTCTTCTTCTTCTTCTTCTTCTTCTTCTTCTTCTTCTTCTTCTTCTTCTTCTTCTTCTTCTTCTTCTTCTTCTTCTTCTTCTTCTTCTTCTTCTTCTTCTTCTTCTTCTTCTTCTTCTTCTTCTTCTTCTTCTTCTTCTTCTTCTTCTTCTTCTTCTTCTTCTTCTTCTTCTTCTTCTTCTTCTTCTTGACTAAGTATTAACAGTCCCTTGAAAATGAAAGCTTGACCTTAACATAATTTAAGATTACTCCTGGGGCTGTACAGTGTATATATATGTATAAGGGGAACCCCCTATTTTGGCCAAAGTCCTAGGTGCGTAGAAAGTCCTTACTAAGTGGAAAGTTGATGTGTAGGGGGGGGGGATATTCAAAAATTTATTTTTTTCTGCCAATTCTAGAAAGTATATATAAATTTGATTAATACTTAAAACAGCTTGGCAAAAAAATATTCAATTAAATTAAAAGCGTTTTTATAGATTAATGATAATAAGATTGAAAACAGCTTATTCAGTCGGTATGTACAGTTGTAAATCGGACATTGCAATCTTTGCATGGTGAGCCATTTGAAATTACGCTTGTTAATTAATTTTGAATACAAATAAAGGCCACTGCAGCTAGAAATTTATAAGAGAGAATTATTTCATTTTTGAGGCCTATGCCCTATACATATAGAGTTGCAGATACTAATTTTGATTATGAAAAAACATATATGTTACACTATATACAAATTTACCAAACCTAATTCATGAAACCAGGTTTTTACTATCCTGGGTTTCATGAATATAACTTAAGTTACGTACTCAGAGCTGGAAATTTTTGTGTTGAATCCCGTTTGCTTAATATCAATATCCACTATGGACACTATTGATTTTCAGCTTAGCCTTCTCTTTTTTATATCCCTACTGGTTTCCGACCGATGAGTGTTCTCTTAATGATTGCGCGCCTAATTTCCCGGCTTCTGATTGGCTGTTTGGTTTCTACAAATGACACTTTGATTTGTTAGATTTTAAATACTTTCCTGCATATTAAATAAATTTAAAATCAAACTGCATATTACCAAAAAGAGGAGATTAAGCATTGATCTCGATATTCACAATACAAGAGATCCAGCTCAGATTATTGAAAGCACTATGCAGTAATCTGTAGTCTGTACAGCGTTACGTATACAAGGTTATTTTTGTCATCCAATAATAAGTTCTGTCAACTTAATTTTTATTCCTTTTGTTGCACAATCTACCTACGCGTCTTATTATAGTTGTAGAACGTCATAGACGTGATACATTTTATTATTCATTAAATAAGAATAATGTTTTTCTAAAAAAAATGAAGAATTGAGATTATAAATTATAAAGAAATGATAATAAAACAAAATAAAGAAAAATTATGAAAAAATTATTTTAACCAGGCGGTTTTATTTAGTTTAAGGTTTAAAGAGTACAGACTACCAATTCCTCTGTATTGTGCTCATTGTGC